ACCATTAGTATGCGTTGAGTGCACTCCTTTTGAGAGTCCGGTAGCATAGTCATGTTCACGGTGAGATTGAATGAATCGCTGCATTTGTATTGATACGAAAGAGGTGAAAAAGAAGGAGTTCCTATGAAACATTCTGCGTTACTGTATATACATTTGTTATTCTCTGGTGGAAAATCATTGTGCTTGAAAGAATAAGACTTTTGTGATTAATCGACAGCAACTCTTTGAAGACAAATACTCTTCATATTTGAATATTGCAACAGAACAATTTGTACAATACTGCAGGTCATGGGTACGTGGCTAACAGAATGGATCGGGAAGACTAAAATGAACTAGCAGATGGTTTGCACAGACGATTGGTGGCCAGAAAAACTGATCACGTATGAATCGCGAACAAATACAACCAGCACACAATTGCAGTGGATTGCCGATGAGATAGAAGGTGAGTCGATAAGGAGAAATGAGGGTACAGGCAAAATAGATCAGTGGACCACAAAATGGAAGCTTTGAATGAGCTCACATTTCCGTTTTTTGCTTTAGAAATGTGGTATTTTCTCATACCAGGATAGAACTGACCTAGATATTTTGAAATATGTACTGATCTACGTCAATTCTTGTGAAATCAAGACATCGTTTATTGTGCTCCGCAGGAATAAGTGAGGTTAATGGGATCTTCTTTTCTTGGTCTTTGGGGTTTTCCTAACGTTCAGAAACTGTGTATACCTTCAAGGGCAATGCTACGCACTTTATACATAGCACTTTATACCATATCCATATTTAACGTGACATTTTGAGATGTCTCTTTGTTTATACACACAGAAATTATATTTCGTTCAGAGACAAGATGTATGGGAAAACAATAAGTAATAAGATCAAAACCTCAAGAGAATCAAATTTACTTGATCAACATCAATAAAGTGTAACGAAACGAATATGCTTCATTGCACTTGTCACTATGACTAAAATTCATCGGTCTACTTTGTCTTGAAATCGTTAACCCAGCGTTGGAAGAGAACGCACAAAACATGATATTAGTCAGCGAGGCGAACAACTCGCTCTGATCACCTCGATGCGTGACCGTTTGTTCATTACATGCTTACGTCATATGGAACAGGAAAAACAAATTAAAGACAGAACTGCAAAGTGCTTCGTCCGATAATACTTCAAGGACCCAACTCAGTTTTTACTATCATAAAACGAAATCCGGTTAGGTATTGGAAACGAATATTTCAAAAGGTGATGAGAGAATAAGGAGGGTTACTAGTTGGTAAGAGTAATAATAATTAAGAGTGGAACAATAGTTATAATTCTATGGAAAATATTCAGAGGAGTTTTATGTGTTCGTACATTTTGGAATGTAATGAATACATCTATTTAAATGTAAGTACGGTAAGTTAAACGAGGAGAATCGGTATGTCTCAAAAAGTACCTCAAATCTTATACAGATGCTTAGTGGGTAGAAACCAGAGGTGAGTTCATTCACCGGGCGGTGGTGGCCCGGTAGTAATGTCACCAAATTATCACCCCGGGGATGTTTTCGAATCCCACCACCACTGCTTGACTTTCCCCATTGTGTTGAATGACAGTACTTTGAGGTGGCCGCTTTCCCCTTCCTGAAAATTATATCTTTGCGTATTCATTAAGAGAAAGTAAAAATGAAAAGAAAAACGAAGGAAGAGTGGGCAAGATGAATGAAAATAGCTACAAGTAATTTCCAGTACGGAAATAATCTCTGAAATCAAACAAAAAGGAAGCATCAATGCCGCGATCGGATGTCTTATTACATTTGAGGAAAGCAGTACCACATATGAGAAAGACAGAACGGCAGAATCAAAGTGAACTCACTTATCAAAGTATATTACGCGCTTGACATTTTATTTGTGGATTCAACAATCTGACTGCTGAAAAATAATAGACTAAAAAACGGTTTGAAGCATGGTTCTTTGTCAACACTGGACAGCTTTGTTTGCAATTTCATATTGGATATTGCAACCCAAATCGACAAAATGAGGTGAAAAAGAATGGATGAGTTTTCAGGTCGTTTTCTTGACAAACGTTCGATAGAAACCCTAGAGAAAACAAAATTCACCGTAAACAGAAAACACTATACCTACAATTACCGTACGAGTGGGCTAAGACGGTGGACTGGGGAACACGAACTTTAAGTCAAACGATAATGCGAACTTTCACAACGGCAGCACTGCGCAGCATTCATACATGACATACAGTTCGTTTCCATCTCAAAGACAGATTGTCCTCGTGGACCGATTCAAGGTGCATATATGTGTTTGCTTGCTTTTCGGAAGCTGGTTACATAGGCAATTCAAGGCAACTATCAAAGAGAATAAGTGGACATCGCCCTCATGGTTTGCGACACAGAAATAAAGATAGCGGAAAGCGCGCTATATCAACAATTGCTCAGTGCTAGTCACGTGCCAAAAGTTGAGCATATTCCCTCGTTGTCCTCCATACGGGGATGCTTTATCCTACTGTTTTTGGCTGAATCGGCATCAGACCATCTAATACTCCACTGTGCAAATAGAAGCGCTTCGTCCAGGCATTGTTTCTGCCATGGTCAGCCGTCCAGCCATCGGTGGACTTGAGTGTTGCAAATGGAAGAAGGTTGAACCAATGCGAGGCCTAATCAAAATAGTGACGAACATACGATCGTAAAGTGCGAAACGATTCGCTTTGCAATGCATCAAACGATAAGTTTTACCTATAAATCGATCGTATCATCGTTTCACATTGTGTTAACCATTCCGCTCGTGACCTCAAACAGGTAAATTCCTTCTGATCCTCTCTACGAGCTGATTGGATAATTTTTCGCGATCTACGCAACTTGTAATAACTCAACTTGCCACCGGACTATCAGATCATCAGCTCGTAATGCATGCGATGCTCCTGCTGTTAAGTGTAGTCCAGCCGTACGATGATGGCACTCCAGCTGTTCACAGAACACGTTTAGTGATTATTCCGAAAAATCGAGGAAAGCGGCTCCTACTCGCTGGGCGGATTTCACGTCTCAAACTGAGGTGGTACAATTTGTTGCCCAAACCGCGGGAAAAGATTCAATTAACTCGCAGAGAGGGTCGCAGGGGATTCAATTCTTTGATGTTACTCGTGAGAGCGTCAAGACCATGTGAAACAGTAAAGCAATCGAACTCTAAGCATCAATCGATTGCCACTTGAGGAGTGATCGTAAACCAGCTGGTTTATGTTATTGGATGTTATCTCCAGTGTCGAGTTGAAAGTTTTCAATATTTTGCCACTAATGTCTATTAGGGAGAATTTACGAGTTACTGTATTTTAGAAGCAGAATCGGGCTTAAATCATTCCTAACTCAAGCAAGTGCAAAAAGACAATTATGCCTAACGGAAGATTTGATTTAATTTCAAGTGGAAATTCGTTGTGATCGTAGCATATGAAGCGTAATCTGAAAAGCTGACTGGTCATCTAGTGGATACAGACAATGAAATTTGACCAGAATCCGCGTTCAGCGTAGTCTATCGTGTGATCCCAATCCCGCTAAGGCAGCGAATGCGCTTACACGCTAACGAACACACTGAGGCGAGAGGCCTTCGTCTGTTCGCACTAGAACTGTGCGCATACAAGTGACTGATTCAAGCTCTCCAACTAACCTGACACAGAATTGATCACCAAAATTCCAATCACATTCAATCTCACACGAAAACTCCATCCCGCCCCTCTCCCCATCCCGAATGACCTTTCGACACAGCGTGAAAATTTGTCCCCACTAACAACAAACCCTCATATGATTTGTACAGGCACGATTATGAATCATTCGAAAACCATCGTTCACTTTCGGACTTATATTCGGATTTTACAGTGGTATCATTCTGAAAACTAGGAAACACAGTCGCCGGCACCTAACCACTTTGTCACACGATAAGTAGTCAGGTTTTTGTAGCTTCCAACCGATTCGTAACCGTCTAGGCTAGTGCTGAGATAAGTGAGGTCCGTTGCCCGCAACAAGCTCACAAAGATGGGGTGTGCTACGTCGTGTATTATCAGAATGAGAAACGGTCTGATCAGCTACTCGGTGGCCGAGTGGGTGGCATTCACGCGTTCTGCCTGTGAGTCCCGGGTTCTGTTCACAGTTGGGTTGATGAATTCCCACTGCTAATGAGACCCATTCAGGTCGAAACGACTGTCTGGTACTTTCTAGCTCTTCGGTTCACGCTTTAATTGCTACATACTGGACAAATTTCCCTTTTGGAAGCTATTCATTTATTTGGCAAGCGTTTTTCCTTGACAATCGCCGTAAACACTTATTTTGAATGAAATAGAAAAACAAGTGTCCATACAGGATATAGAACTAATCTGGGATAGTTGAATGTAAGTGGAAACTCGTTGCGGTCCCATTTCTGTAGTATCTGGTTTGCTCAAATTTGTGGCATGATGGCACAATGAATCGACCTACGAATCAATCAAATAGTAGTGTTTCATGGGCAAACTGAAAAACACGTTGCGTGCTTGCAAGACAATATAGGAAGTTAGCACCATTACAATATTGAAATGATGATTTTCTGACAGATATGGAAATTATGTCTTTGAACTTTTCTCATATTTTACAGAGAAAATACTCACTTATCGACATGACCTGGGTATTGCCTTCCTCTGAGAATTTCAATATTTGGAAGCTGCTTTGGCTAGTTAATGGCATGCCAATGAATCTCTCAGGATAGTTCACTTGTTTTTACCTATACACCATCAGGCGGTATTACGCTCACGAGCTGTCTGTGCAATTACTTCTCTCTTAAAAGACCATTGTACCGTTCGTTATTTGTTTGACACATAGTCTACAATTAGAACAGTGGTAAATACAATAGACATTAAGACTGCCATTACCCACACAACATTTCCTTACAGTTGTTATCCATTAAACATGATTCAGCTTACTTAAGCAAACATAAAGTTTTACTTAACCAATTAGAGGAGAAGCACTTTGGTTCAATGCATTTCATTTCGCATTTCCCTTACCCGGGATAGACCAAACTATATGGATTTGGTCCCAGCTTGACCGATGAGTTCAAACCAATTTTCACCTGTTCCGTATTGTTCAACTTCACAACAATTTGACCGGTGTTTGTGTAATTTGAACTATCCAGCGATAACGTGGCTCTGATCGGTATGCGGGCATTGTTGTTTGCCTCCAGACTGTCCGCCAAGATAAGAGTGATTCGAGCGTAGATCACATCGGAGTCCGGAACAGACTTTCTCACGGATTGTGTTGCCGCTAAATCATGCAAATGAGGAGAGTCAAACAGTCAATAAATCAGAGTTACTACAATCAATAAACGATACGGATGGTAATGAATGTCTAACAACAATGGAATTTTGAGTATCAAACTTGGATTAGCCCATTCGATGGTCAGGGGCACCAGGCACTCTTAATGGTTTTGGATGTAGGTTTCACTCCTTGGGAAATCGTTAATTCTCCACAAGTTC